AGGAATTTGACATGTTCACCTTTATGCTTTTTCATAAAATGTATTAGCTTGAATAAAGTATGAATGGCCTCTAAAATAGTAAGAACTTACCTGATGAAGTCATTAAATCTTCTAACAAGTAAATTAAGGAGAAAAACAGTACTTTCCAAGCAACATTTTTTTTAAAAAAACGTGTTTTCGAACATGGTGGGGAAAATAAATGTAAATAACTTGAAAAGCAGGATCTATGACAAGGTGATTAAGATGATTAATTAGAAATGAAGCTTCAGATTGATGTGGTTGTTCCTTGTGGAAATACTAGAAAAATGTCTATATTCAATTGTTACCTATGAAAATACTAAGAAATGTACTAATTTAAAGTTGATAAATGAGAACATTATTGGAAGAACAGAAAAATCAAGGAAAGCTACCATGTGGCTTACAGAATTATAGAAACTAACTGTTATTGATTGTTTGCCAATATAAACCCAGAGAACACGCTGTTTACCCAATATTAAGGTGATTATGTAAAAAAAATGAATAAAATATATTAAAAATAAATAAACAAATTTTTAAAAGATGGTTTTTTTCTCTCCTTTCTCTTAAGCCACATAGATAGAGCTTTTGTTTGTGCAACCGCCTAAAAATCAAAATTTGTTTTGCTCCTGTGGGTCTTAATACATTCAGTGAATCAAAATTGTGCGGTTGATTGAGTGCATTTATTAAGGAGTAGCTTGCACAAAGCCTCCAAAAGCTGAGAAAAATCTGTTTTTCTCACTTCCAACATGCAGGAATGACGTAATTACATACAGTAATCCTTGACTTACAACCACAGTTACAAACAGAATTTCCGTCGCTAAGCAAAGCAGTTAAAATGAGCCCTGCTTGGTTTTGTGACCTTTTTTTTTTTTGCCACGGTTGTTAAACAAATCACTTAAAGTTGTAAAGTGAATCAGGCCGTCGTTAAGCAAATCTGGCTGGTCACGTGACGACCATGGGACACGACGACTGTCGCAAATACATGCCAGTGGCCAATTTTGATCACATGACCAACTGTGACGGTCGTAAATGTGAGGACGGTTGTAAGTCATTGTTTTCGCTGCCGTTGTCGCTTCGAACAATCGAAGTTGTAAGTCGAGGATTGCCCGTATTCTGTTTCTACAAGATGTTGCCAAAGCTGCAGATAAATTGTGATTTTTTTTCTTTCTTTCTCTCCTCTCCGTCTAACACGAACTGCAGGGAATTTCCAGGAAGTGGGAATCTGATCACATTTTCCCAGTTCTTCTTTATAGCTTTGGAAGGTTTTATTTTTGAAGCCAAGTTCGGAAGAAAACAGCCCACGATTCCTATCAGGTATGGCCGATCTCTTTTATTTTGAAATATAGTTTTTATTCGAGTCGATCATAATGTAAACTACAACTGAAAATAAAGATAATAAGGAAATGGGGAAGGAAAAGAGCCACGATTCCTGTCAGATATGGCCGATCTCTTTTATTTTGAAATATAGTTTTTATTCGAGTTTATCATAATATAAAGTACAACTGAATAGAATAGAAAAGAACTCAAAGGGACCCTGGAGGTCTTCTAGTCCAGCCCCCTGCTCAAGCAGGAGAACCTATACCATTTCAGATAAGTGACTGTCCGGACTCTCTCATTTTTATTTGAGTTTATCAAAATATAAAATACAACTGAAAAAAATAAAGATAATAGGGAAGGAAAAGGAAAAGAGCCCACAATTCCTATCAGGTATGGCCGATCTCTTTTATTTTGAAATATAGTTTTTATTCAAGTTGATCCTAATATAAAATACAGCTGAAAATAAATATAATAGGGAAATAGGGAAGGACAAGGAAAAGAGCCCACAATTCCTGTCAGGTATGACTGATCTCTTCTCTATTGAAATATAATTTGTATTTGAGTTTATCACAATGTAAACTACAACTGAGTAGAATAGAAAAGAACGAGAAGGGACCCTGGAGGTCTTCTAGTCCAGCCCCCTGCTCAAGCAGGAGAACCTATACCATTTCAGATAAGTGACTGTCCGGACTCTCTAATGTTTATTTGAGTTTATCAAAATATAAAATACAACTGAAAAAAAAATAAAGATAATGGGGAAGGAAGAGGAAAACAGGCCACAATTCCTGTCAGGTCAGTATGGCTGATCTCTTTTACTTTTAAATATAATTTTCACTGAAGTTTATCACAATATAAAACCACGACTGAAAATAAAGATGATGGGGAAGGAAAGAGGAAAGAAGTGTAAGGAAAAAAAGAATAAACCAGAGATTTCCAGCTTTTTTCAGTGCCATAAAAGTTCAAAATCCAGAGGCTCGGCAACTGGCATGTACTTATGACGGTTGCGGCGTCCCGGGATCATGTGATCCCCTTTTGCGACCGTGTTACTAACAAGTAACTTGAGGACTATCTGTATTTGATTTGTGATCCGTCTTTCTGCTTGGGTAATAAGCAGGGGGGGGCGGATTTCAAATGGGGAAGGGTTCTGCGTTCGAGGAAAATCACCTCCCAGGTCACATGGAAGGTGACAATTTTGTGCTTCTTCTTTCTAGGTTCTACCTCATTATGGTGGGCATGTTTTTCACAGTGAGTGTGGTGAACAACTACGCTCTCAACCTGAACATTGCGATGCCCCTGCACATGATATTTAGATCGGTGAGATTCGATCTCGGTTTTTAGTATTTCGTTTGTTTATTTATTTGTATCCCACCTTTAATATTTTTATTCATAACTCAAGGAGATGAACATATCTTACTACTTCCTCCTCCTCCTCCTCCTCCTCAACAACAGCCCTGTGAGGTAGGTTGGGCTGAGAGAGAGTGATTGGCCCAAAGTCACCTAGCTGGCTTTCATTCCTAAGGCGGGACTAGAACTCACCGTCGCGGGTGATTGGCCCAAAGTCACCCAGCTGGCTTTCATTCCTAAGGCGGGACTAGAACTCACTGTCGCCTGGTGATTGGCCCAAAGTCACCCAGCTGGCTTTCATTCCTAAGGCGGGACTAGAACTCACCGTCGCCGGGTGATTGGCCCAAAGTCACCCAGCTGGCTTTCATTCCTAAGGCGGGACTAGAACTCACCGTCGCCTGGTGATTGGCCCAAAGTCAGCCAGCTGGCTTTCATTCCTAAGGCGGGACTAGAACTCACGGTCGCCTGGTGATTGGCCCAAAGTCAGCCAGCTGGTTTTCATTCCTGGCGGGACTAGAACTCACCCATCACCTGGATATTGGCCCAAAGTCACCCAGCTGGCCAGATTCACTTAACAACCACCCTGCTATCTTAACTGCTGCAGTGATTCACTTAACAACCGGGGCAAGAAAGGCTGTACAACGGGGCAAATGTCACTGGAGAACTGTCTCGCTTAGCCACAGAAATGTTGGGCTCGATTATGGTCACAAGTCAAGGACCACCTGCCCTTTCGGCCTCTACTATCCTGACGGCTGTTAACCTGTCTTTCCCCCCTCCCTCCCTTCTTTTCCCATTTCTTCCCTTGTAGGGCTCTCTGATAGCCAGCATGGCGCTGGGAATCATCATCCTGAAGAAAAGGTAAGATGGCTTCTTCCGGTAGCTATGATGCTTGCGTTCAATAGAACAGAAAAGAATGACAAGAGTCGGAAGGGACCTTGGAGGTCATCTAGTCCAACCCCCTGCTCAGGCAGGAGACCCTATAACCAGGGGTAGGCAACCTTGGCTCTTTTATGACTGGTGGACTTCAAGTCCCAGAATTCCTGAGCCAGCCATGCTGAGGGGAAAGGGAGAGGTTTCCAAGCTGAGCCAGGCTGGCTCAGGAATTCTGGGAGTTGAAGTCCATGAGTCATGAGGGGGCCATAGTTCCCCCATGCTGGCTCAGGAATTCTGGGACTTGAAGTCCACAAATCATGAAGGGGCCATAGTTCCCCCCTCCTGGCTCAGGAATTCTGGGAGTTGAAGTCCATGAGTCATGAGGGGGCCATAGTTTCCCCATGCTGGCTCAGGAATTCTGGGAGTTGAAGTCCACCAGTCATAAAAGAGCCAAGGTTGCCTACCCCTGGTCTAGGAGGCTCACCGCTTAGAACAGGAGGACTTAGGCCAGTGGTAGGCAACCTTGGCTCTTTTATGACTTGTGGACTTCAACTCCCAGAATTCCTTAGCCAGCTTGGCTCAGCTTGGAAACCTCTCCCTTTCCCCTCAGCATGGCTGGCTCAGGAATTCTGGGAGTTGAAGTCCTCCAGTCATAAAAGAGCCAAGGTTACCTACCCCTGGCCTATACTATTACAGACAAGACCGACAGGTCAGAGAAGAAATTTTTGCAGGTCACAACCTCGCGGGTGTTGAAGACCACCGGTCGACAAGGTGGCCAATTAACAGGGGTGACAGTCCTTTAAAGAGGAATCAAGACCCAACGAAGAGAGGAACTAGTCAAAGACGTGAATTGACGTCACTAAGTAACCCGTCGACACCATTCTTCCCACTACTTTTACCGGCAAATCTCACTCCACAAGTGTCTCGCTTAGGAACGGAAAATTTGGGGCTTCATTGGGTCGTAAGCCGAGGACTGCTGGTATGTAGAATTCACAGGGGGGTTAGTAGGATTTTCAAGAGCCTCCCTCTCTCTCTCTCTGTCCCTCTCCGCTTTTGACCTTCTGTTTTTCAACAAGATCTTTATGAGTCCTTTTCACAACCGGATGTGCGGAATTTGAGAGTCGGTGACATCAACGCAACTTCCTGGCAGGGCTGTGGAGTCGGTAGATAAATGTTCTGACTCCGACTCCTCAGTTTTTTGTACTTCCGACTCCGACTCCGACTCCCCGACTCCGACTCCTCTGTATTAATAAGCTAACAATCGGAGTTTACAAGTTTTTATAGCCTTAGCTGAATGACAGCAGTTTTTCCAATGGTTTACAGCTTCAGTCTTGAACTATTGACCCTCCATTCCCTTCCCTTATACAAGTGTCTCTAGTCCTGCAAAAAACATATTTACTTAATCCCTTATCAGTGAGAGGCTCGGTTACCCATGGGCGCTGCTGCCTTCCCTGTAACAGCAGAACACAACACTATGGAAAGTATAAGTATTGCCGCTCCTAATTGTGCGTTGCGTGCCATATAGTGAAGCACATGAAAAGCATGCTTCTTCACGGTCACTTAACGTGTTCGTTTTGCGGTTACGTGAGGCACTGCATGCATTGGTCTTTCTTCTTACAGTAGAGAAGTCATTAATTATAACTTTTTGTGAATTGGGACATTTAAACTTGCATTTTTTTTTAATTCCAATCTAAATTTAGTAGGAGTCGGAGTCGGTGCATTGTTTGCCGACTCCGACTCCAGGTACCCAAAATTTCCTCCGACTCCACAGCCCTGCTTCCTGGTTTTCTGAAGAAGGGGGGGGGGGAGGGGAGGAAGGAAGGAAGGGGGATTGAGTAATGCTGGGTGGGGGGTGTCCTCTGGAAGGGGCAGAGCCAACCCGGTGTGTGGGAGGGGAAGTAAGCTTGGGGGACGACGTGTTCTCATTGTCCTCCAAGAGACCCCCTCCTCAAATTAAATCTTGCTGAAATATGGCTTTCTTGCTGTTATTCTTGGAGGGGGTGTGGGATTTAAATGGTTTGTGTGTGGGAGGTGTGTGTGTGGGTCTGTCTGTTGTTGCTATGGAAGAAGGCACCATTCTTTAGGGACCAAGAGAGAGCCAGTTTGGTCTAGTGGTGAAATCACTAGGCGAGAAACCAGGAGACGGAGAGTTCTAGTCCCGCCTTAGGCATGAAAGCCGGCTGGGTGACTTTGGACCAATCACCGGGAGATGGTGAGTTCTAGTCCTGCCTTAGTCATGAAAGCCGGCTGAGTGGCTTTGGGCCAATCACCAGGAGACCGTGGCCCATAGTCGCCCAGGTGGCTTTCAAGCCTAAGGCGGGACTAGAATTCACTTCCTCCTGGCTTCTAGCTAGGTGCCTTCACCACTGGACCAAATTGGGTCTTCCTTTCTTGTTGAAAAGCTGAGATTCTCAAATCTCAAAGCTTGGAGGGGTTTCCCCATGGAAAGCTGAGAGGGGGGGTCTCGGGCTGTGTTGTTCCTTCTGTTGAAGCTCTCCCATTCTTCTCTTGCACAGGTACACTCTCTCCAAGTACATCTCTATAGCGTTGGTCTCTCTGGGCATTTTCACCTGTACTCTCATGTCAGCCAAAGAACTGGTAAGCTCCCTTATCCTCTTTGTTAAATACCTGTCTTCAAGATTAGACACACACACATACATACACACAGGCCTGCCCCACACCCTTCCCAGGCACAAACCACTGCCTCAGAAAGGTGGATCAGAGATAAGAATAAGAATAAGAATAGCAGTAATAAAGTTGGAAGGAACCTTGGAGGTCATCTAGTCCAACCCCCAGCTCAGGCAGGAAATCCTATACCAGGGGTGGGGAAACTTGGCTCTTTTATGACTTGTGGACTTCAACTCCCAGAATTCCTGAGCCAGCTATGCTGGCTGAGGAATTCTGGGAGTTGAAGTCCACAAGTTCTGAAAGAGCCAAGGTTCCCCACCCCTGCCCTATACCATTTCAGACAAATGGCTTTCCAGTCTCTTCTTAAAAACTTCCAGTGTTGGAGCATTCGCTGCTTCTGGAGGCAGATTGTTCCACTGATTAATTGTTCTAACTGTCAGGAAGTTTCTCCTTAGTTCCAGGTTGCTTCTCTCTTTGGTTAGTTTCCATCCGTTGCTTCTTGTCCTGTCTTCGGGTGCTTCAGAGAATAGCTTGACTCCCTCTTCTTTGGGGCAGCCCCTGAGATACTGGAACGCTGCTATCATGTCCCCCCTCGTCCTTCTCTTCATTAAACTGGACCTACCCAATTCCAGCAACCGTTCCTTATATGTTTTAGCCTCCAGTCCCCTAATCGTCTTTATTGCTCTTCTCCGTACTCTTTCTAGAGTCTCAAGTTCTGGTGGCAAGCTGTTCCACTGGTTAATTGTTCTCCCTGTCAGGAAATTTCTCCTTAGTTCTAGGTTGCTTCTCTCCTTGGTTAGTTTCCACCCGTTGCTTCTTGTCCTGCCTTCAGGCGCTTTGGAGAAGAGCTTGACTCCCTCTTCTTTGGCGCAGCCCCTGAGATACTGGAAGACTGCTATCATGTCCCCCCTCGTCCTTCTCTTCATTAAACTAGACAGACCCAATTCCAGCAACCGTTCCTTATATGTTTTAGCCTCCAGTCCCCTGATCATCTTGGTTGCTCTTCTCTGTACTCTTTTCCCTAAGAATGTCTACCTGTCCTACCAGATCTGTTTATGGAGATTCTCCCTCATCCAGGCTGTGGTTGTCCCAAAGATGCTTTTTCATGAGGCAACTGGACTTCCTTGTTTTTCCTTGAAGATGTTTCGCTTTTCATCCCAGAAGCTTCTTCAGCTTTGATTGGATGGTGGGGAAATGGACGGATTTATACTCCTTGCAGACAGCTGGTCATTTGCATTCTTTTAAGAGAGTCGTTGAGCCCACTTGGAGGTTTTTCTGTGTCCTCGGGGTCACCTGAGTGGTACAAATGGGTGATATATCTCCAGTCTACAACACAGTCCTTTCAACAGCTCCAAGAAGGCTCCACACCCATTTGCACTACTCAAGGTATCCCAACGACACAGATAAAACCTCCAAGTAGCCTCAACGACCTTCTAAAAGAATGCAAATGACCAACTGTTTGCAAGGTGTATAAATCCTCCCATTCCCCGCCATCCAGTCAGAGCTGAAGAAGCTTCTTGGATGAGAAGCGAAACGTCTTCAGAGAAAAACAAGAAAGTCCAGTTGCCTCCTGGAAAAGCACCTTTGGGACAACCATGAATCTGGATGACGGAGAATCTCCACAGACTCTGTTCTTCCCTTAAGTCTGCTTGGAGTTTAGTTCGCTTGTGGCTACGTAAGGATTCTAAGGCTGATGCCTCTTTTCACTCCAACCCCAGATTCTGCTCCTCCTGTCCTCCTAAAGCCACGGTGGGCCCAGTCCTCGCCCCTTCCCCTAAATCAGTGATGGCAAACCTATGGCATGCGTGCCAGAGGCGGCACTCAGAGCCCTCTCTGTGGGCACACCTACTGCCACCAGCTCACGCAGGTCCATTAATTAGGCCAGGGCTTTTCAACCTTTTCACCCAGTATGCCACTTTTAGGACATGGCAACATCCGAGGACCACCAGTTGCCTAGCAAGGTGTCAAAAACTTGATGACCCACCCACCCCAAAAAAAGGAAAAAAGTGATAAAGTACAGGTAGTCCTCGACTTACAACAGTTTGCTTAGTGACTGTTTGAAGTTACAATGGCACTGAAAAAAGTGTCCCACAAGCCACAGCTGAGCAAGACACCTGCCTGCCCGCCCGGCCGTGCTCTTCCTCCTGTCCCAGGTTTTTATGGTTGTGAGCATTTCTGTTGAGGATTGGCAGTGGAGGTGGGGTGGGGGGTGTTTGGTTTTTATTCCCCCCCCCCCGTCTCCTGGGTGGTTGCAGCAGGTTTTGGTCACTTCAAATGACCCTGGGACACTGTGACCGTCATAAATATGAATCAGTTGCCAAGCATCTGAATGTAAATCACAAGACCCTGGAGATGCTGCAACATTCCAGCTGATCGGCGCTTCTTCTGGGCTCAGCAGAAGCACCAGGATCAGCGCCGAGCTCCAGCTGATCCTGGCGCTTCCGCTGAGCCCTGACAGCCCCGAAGAAGCGCCGATCAGCTGGAAAGCGGCACTGATCCTGGCGCTTCCGCTGAGCCCCGACAGCCCTGCAGCTCCAGCCGTCTCTCGCTCCGGTGCGGTGTTGCCACCGGTTCAGCTCATTCCCCTCCACTGCTACCCCTTTTCTAGGATGGTCGCGTACCCCCTGCCAGGTGCCCATGTACCACAGGTGGTAGCCGTACCACTGGTTGAAAAGCCCTGCATTAGGCCACCGCTGGTGCCCGGAGCGTCATCCCTACCCAGCACAAAGGAGGCGAAGCAGCCGGCTAGCAAGCGCGAGTAGAGGTGGTAGAGCGCGCCCCCATGCGCTCGCTGGTCTCCGTGCGTGGGGGCTGAGGGTGTCAGGCAGCCGCTGCCTCGCCTTGCCCCGCAGCAATGACACCCCCGCCCTACCCCCTGCCTCACCCCACAGGACGAGCCCCCTGCCCACCGCCCCACCCACCAGAGACCCCCTGGATCTCCCCCAATCCTGCCCAGACCCCCACAGGCGTCTCCCCCACGAGCGACATCAAGGTGGCCACGCCCACTCAGTCTGCCGTGGCCATCACAGCCACGCCCACCCAGTGGGCCACCCCCCCCTTGAGGGCACCATAATGCTGATGCGGCCCTGGCACTTCGCGATACAGAAGTGGGTTTCGGGTTGCAGTTTGGGCACTGGGTCTCTAAAAGGTTCGCCATCAGTGCCCTAAATATTGTTATCCAAAGGCAGCTTGGGAGCCCCTCCCTTATGAAACACCCCCCCCCCCATATTCAACAGTTTCCCCCCCCCACCCATCCTTTTCGCCTTCGGTCAATCTTTGGCTTTTCTCCGAGAACTGGGATAAGAGACGATACGATTGGGCCCCAGAGTTTTATTGCCTTTCTGGGTTTGAGTGTACTTAATTTTTATTACGTTGTTGTTGTTTTTTTTATGTTGTTTTAAATTTGGATTGGCAACCGCCCAAAGTCAATCAGAAGGCGGGCGGCTGTATAAATGTTTGAAATCAAGAAATGGCTTCTCGGATGGGCTGCCGCAAAACCCGTCTTTCCGTACGGCCGCAGAAGGACGCTGGCGGCAAGCTGGGTCTTGCCCCTCCAGGTGGTTTCATCTTTTACCTGCCCAGGTGGCCCAGACCCAGCCCAGACTAGCTAGGGCCGGTCAGGTAGACCCCCCCCTTGTCTTTTTTTTTGGGGGGGGGGAATATTTCCGTGACTTTGTCGTTGGATTGTAAAGTTGTAAAATTGCAGAAAAAGCCGGGGAAGTCGTTAAAAAAGGAGAGAAAAAAAAGGGCCTGTCATTTTTCCTGTTCAAATTTTCTGGGTTTGATTGATTGATTGACGGTCCGCCGTCAACAAAGTCGTTGCAAGGTAGAATGCAACAGCGGCGGGAAAAGCACACACATACAAAAAAAAATTAAATACAACAACTAACACAAATATAATAAAAGCAATAAAACCCTTGAGGAGCTAAACTGGCATGTAGAGAAAGTAAGTTAACTGAAATGAAATCTAGAAGAGGAAACAGATAAAATAAGAATAAACTTGAAATCAAGGAACCAAAGGGCATCGACCTTGTAGCGTTCCAACCACAGGCGGTCCTCAGCTTAACGACCGCGAGGGAGTCCNCAACAGTTTCCCCCCCCCACCCATCCTTTTCGCCTTCGGTCAATCTTTGGCTTTTCTCCGAGAACTGGGATAAGAGACGATACGATTGGGCCCCAGAGTTTTATTGCCTTTCTGGGTTTGAGTGTACTTAATTTTTATTACGTTGGTTTTTTTTTTTTATGTTGTTTTAAATTTGGATTGGCAACCGCCCAAAGTCAATCAGAAGACGGGCGGCTATATAAATGTTTTAAATAAAGAAATGGCTTCTTTGGATTTGGATGTAAAAGAAATGGAGTTGATGTTAAATCTTATAACGGCTGCAAGATTGTTAATTGCTCAACATTGGAAAATGAAAGGTTTACCTACTATAGAAGATTGGGTAGTTAAAGTCTCAAATTTAGCTGAAATGGCCAAGATTTCCGCTTATGTGAAGGATTATTCACAAGAAAGATATATATTGGTTTGGAGAAGATGGATTGTTTATATTGAGTCGAAATATGGAACCAAAAAATATCATTTGGTTTTTGAATGAACTTTTGATTTTTGATATTTAAAATTATGTTAAAATGATGGTATTTAATAATTGTATATTAGTTTTAAAAGAGAGTTAAAGGAAGTTATAGATTTGTTAGATTAATAGTTGATTAATGTTAGTTAGATTATGATTATTTTATTGTTAATCCTGTCATAGGCTCTGGGAAGTGAGGGGGGGGAGGGAGGGTTGGGTTTGGGGGGAGGGGAGGATTTATATTGTAAAATTTTATAAAATTTTCAATAAAAAAAAAGAAATGGCTTCTCGGAGGGGCTGCCGCAAAACCTGTCTTTCCGTACGGCGGCAGAAGGACGCTGGCGGCAAGCTGGGTCTTGCCCCTCCAGGTGGTTTCATCTTTTACCTGCCCAGGTGGCCCAGACCCAGCCCAGACTAGCTAGGGCCGGTCAGGTAGACCCCCCCCTTGTCTTTTTTTGGGGGGGGGGGAATATTTTCGTGACTTTGTCATTGGATTGTAAAGTTGTAAAATTGCAGAAAAAGCCAGGGAAGTCGTTAAAAAAGGAGAGAAAAAAAAGGGCCTGTCATTTTTCCTGTTCAAATTTTCTGGGTTTGATTGATTGATTGACGGTCCGCCGTCAACAAAGTCGTTGCAAGGTAGAATGCAACAGCGGCGGGAAAAGCACACACACACACAAAAAAATTAAATACAACTACTAACACAAATATAATAAAAGCAATAAAACCCTTGAGGAGCTAAACTGGCATGTAGAGAAAGTAAGTTAACTGAAATGAAATCTAGAAGAGGAAACAGATAAAATAAGAATAAACTTGAAATCAAGGAACCAAAGGGCATCGACCTTGTAGCGTTCCAACCACAGGCGGTCCTCAGCTTAACGACCGCGAGGGAGTCCCAAATTTCCGTTGTTAAAGCGAGACATTTGTCGTTATGTGAGTTTTGCGTCATTTTACGACCTTTTTGGCCGCAGTTGTGAAGCAAATAAACCGCAGTGGTTAAGTGAGGAATAGGGTTGTAAAGTGAATCCGGCTTTCCCCCTTTGACTTTGCTTGTCGGAAGGTCGCAAAAGGGGATCACGTGACCCCGGGGCGCTGCAACCGTCCTAAGTACATGCCAGTTGCCGAGCCTCTTTGAGTTTTGATCCCGTGACCCTGGGGGGAGGCTGCAACGGTCTGACATGTGAAGAAACGGTCCTCGGTCCCTTTTTTTTTCCAGCGCCGTTGTAACCTTGAACGGTCACTAAATGAACTGTTGTAAGTCAAGGACAGTGTCATGGTTCCGACCGATGAAACTCTTCAAAGAACTTTGAGGCATTGTTTACCTTAAAGAATCTTTATTCGAGTATCATGGCATCGGCACGTACATAGGGGAAGCCAAAATCTGAATTCTCCTCCCCTGAGCACATAGTATCCAAGCACAATTCCCTCCTACAATTCACAGTCATAAATCACATTCTCCAATTAGTTTGAAATGCAGGCTTTCCCTCCAGTTCTCCAGCCCGCCATTCCTTATCATCTCTTATTTCAATAACCTTGGTTCTCACACTAGGTCCAGTATTGTTATGTCTAGCTAAACTCTCGTGCACATTCCTCCTTCCCCCCCCCCCCCCAGTATCATCTAATTCTAAGAGTAAAACGTAAGAAGGAAAATGGCTGCATCTCCATCTGTTGTCAAAGCAAGAACATCAGATGTTAGCAGCGTTGACGGACAGCCTGTGGCTGCCAATAAGACCCTGCCATCTTTGGTGGAGTTCATGAGGACTCGGTCGGAGAGGAAGGAGGAGGAGGAATCTCAGAGCAGGAGTTTTCGCCGAAGGAATCTGTCCGCTAAGGTCTCAGGGTCAGGGCTGGCCAGAGGGGAAAATCCCCTCACCAATGCTGGATTTTATGGGTGGCGTTTGCAGTAATATACCAGTTGCATTCATTTATAATCTTTTATCCTAATTTGATGCCTGTTGATAAATCTTGTAAGAACAGATCAGTTGCAGAAGCTGATATTTTCTTTCTTTCTTTCTTTCTTTCTTTCTTTCTTTCTTTCTTTCTTTCTTTCTTTCTTTTTTATATATTTTATTATTTTTTTAACAAAGCATAAGTCACTCAATAACCGGTAAACAGTGTGTTGTCTGGGTTACATTTGTAAAAACACTCCTTAACAATTGATTTCTATCATCTGTATTCCATATATTAATTTTAGTTGATTTCCTATTTCCCCAAAACAAGGATTGCAACAGGACTGATGATAAGGCAACCCAAATGACTGAAAGGAAAAGAAATATTATACTAATATGATGATTATTTTTTTAGGAATATTGGAAAAATTATATACTTAATTGTCATTTATTAAAACAATAAGAACTGTATTAACTCAATATCTATATTTCTTTCTATCTTTTTCTTTCTCTTTCTCTTTCTTTTTCTTTTATTTCTTTCTTTCCTGCTTGCTTGCTTGCCTACTTCTTTCTTTCTTTCTTTCTTTCTTTCTTTCTTTCTTTCTTTCTTTCTTTCTTTCTTTCTTTCTTTCTTTCTTCCTTCCTTCCTTCCTTCCTTCCTTCCTTCCTTCCTTTCTTTCTTTCTTTCTTTCTTCCTTTCTTCCTTTCTCTTTCTTCTTTTCTTTCTCTCTTTCTTTTTCTTTTTTTCTTTTTCTTTTTTCTTCTTTTCTTTCTTTCCTTCCTTCTTGCTTGCTTACTTTCTTTCTTTCCTTTCTTTTTCTTTTCTTTCTTTCTTTCTTTCTTTCTTCCCTCCCTCCCTCCCTTTCTGCCCTCCTTCGATCCATCCACCCATCATTCTCCTTCCCTCCCTCCCTTCATTTTTCTTCCTTCCCTGCCTCCCTCATTCCCTTTGTTTTCCTTCCTTCCTTCCTTCCTTCCTTCCTTCCTTCCTTCCTTCCTTCCTTCCTTCCTTCCTTCCTTCCTTCCTTCCTTCCTTCCCAGAGCTCTGTGTCGGGTGCGAGTGAAGACGCTGAGAGCATCTCTGCCTTCCTCTGGTGGCTCCTAGGTCTGTAACTGCCCCCCTTTTGCCCCCCCCCACGGTAACGCTCTTCTGAGCAGATGCACTTGCGGAGGGGGACACAAACCAGAATCCCCTTTCCGAACCAAACTGTGTAAATTGGACTTAAACGGACCCTTGGATGGATTGAAAGCTCTCCAAAACCAACAACCGTATTTATTTTTTTTAATTTTTAGCGTGGCAGGAGGAGGAGGGCGATTCCAAAACAACAATCATCCTCATAATTTATATGTGATCACTGAATTGCACCTGATTCATTTAAACTTCATATTAAATCGGATGCAATGTGTGGCCCGGCCTTGCCCTCTTTGTTCTGTTGCCAGCTATTTTTTTTTTGGACTTTGTCCGGGCTTTTGATCAAAGTTGTGATGTGGTTGCTCCCTCCGCCTACACGACGGAGTCCACAGGTTCATTTTTAATCACGCTGGCTGAAAACGCTTTCTCTATGGCCCCACCTGGGCCTTTCTCGCTCGTGAGCTCACCTGGATTAGCCTTGGGTGTGTTCGCTCCGTTGAAAGACCCACGGAAAGTACTCACACAATAAGAAGGGGAGTGGGCTATTGGCGGTATGAATGCTGGCCTTTGGGGGATGTGCACAGAGAATATTTTTATACAGGGCCAAGAATGTGTTTTCATGGGGTCCTCGGTGCTCTCTGAGCTGGGTTCTTTTCTTACAGACGTTTCATGACCCAACTAGGGAACATCATCAGTGCTAGAAGGGTGGGGGGGTTGCTTTCTGTTTACATAGAAGTATGCAAGGAAAACCACTCCCAGTAAGAGACAATATTTGTAGCTTGGGGTTGAAATGAAGGGTCCTAGGAAGGAAGGAAGGAAGGAAGGAAGGAAGGAAGGAAGGAAGGAAGGAAAAGAGAAAAAGGAAGGAGGGTAGAAGGAAGGATAAAGATAGAATAAGGAAAGAAGAGGGAGGAAGGAAGGAAGGAAGGAAAAGAGAAAAGGGAAAAGGGAAGGAGGGTAGAAGGAAGGATAAAGATAGAATAAGGAAAGAAGAGGGAGGGAGGAAGGAAGGAAGGAAGGAAAAGAGAAAAAGGAAGGAGGGTGGAAGGAAGGATAGATATAGAATAAGGAAAGGAAAGAAGGGAGGAAAAGGAAAGGAGGGTGGAAGGAAGGATAGAGATAGAATAAGGAAAGGAAGGAAGGAAGGAAGGAAGGAGAACTGTGGGGTCCTTGGTGCTCTCTGAGCTGGGTTCTTTTCTTACAGACGTTTCATGACCCAACTAGGGAACATCATCCGTGCTAGAAGGGTGTTTGCTTTCTGTTTACATGGAAGTATGCAAGGAAAACCACTCCCAATAAGAGACAATATTTGTAGCTTGGGGTTGAAATGAAGGGTCGAAGGAAGGAAGGAAGGAAGGAAGGAAGGAAGGAAGGAAAAAAGGGAAGGAGGGTGGAAGGAAGGATAAAGATAGAATAAGGAAAGAAAAGGGAGGGAGGAAGGAAGGAGGAAAGGAAGGAAGGAAGGAAGGAGAAGAAGAAGAAGAACTGTGGGGGTCCCTGGCACTCTCTGAGCTTGGTGGTTTTCTTGCAGACGTTTCATGACCCAACTAGGGAACAGCATCAGTGCTAGAAGGGAGCGGGGTTTGTGAAGTAAAGGAGGCCAGGAGGAGGAAGAGGGTGATTTCCTGCTGAAGGGCAGATCCAGAATATTGGTCTCACCCATTATATGTTTTAGGAATTGCGGCCTTGACCTTCGCCCTCCTCATGTCAGCCCTGATGGGCATCTTCCAGGAAACCATCTATAAGAAGTTTGGAAAACACTCCAAGGAAGCCTTGTTCTACAATGTAAGTGTCCACCCTCCATTTTATCTGGTTGCAGCTTGCAGGAGTTAAGTGGCTTCCCCCAAATGTCAGATTACTGTAGAATTCCCCGGCCAGCATGCTTTAAGATGGGAGGACTTCAACTCCCATAATTCCCCGGCCAGCATGGTTTGAGATGGGTGGACTTCATCTTCCATAATTCCCCAGCCAGCATGGTTTGAGATGGATGGACTTCAACTCCCAGAATTCCCCAGCCAGCATGCTTTAAAACGGGAGGACTTCAGCTCCCAGAATTCCCTGGCCAGCATGGTTAAGATGGGAGGACTTCAACTCCCAGAATTCCCCAGCCAGTAGGCTTTAAGATGGGAGGACCAACTCCCAGAATTCCCTGACCAGTAGGCTTTAAGATGGGAGGACTTCAACTCCCAGAATTCCCTGACCAGTAGGCTTTAAGATGGGTATACTTCCACTCTTCAGCTATGCTCCAGGATCTGCAGGCGTGATGGTGATGCAAACTTAATTTTGCTGGTTCTGTTCCCAAAACTGTTGTTTTATATTTCCTCCTAGCACGGCCTTCCTCTTCCCGGATTTCTCTTTCTGGCTCCAGATATTTACCGACATGGACTTCTCTTTAGTCAATCCAGTGAGTTTATCTGGAGTCCTTGTTTTTAATTTGAAACTGAAGTATGGCGGGTGCTGCTTAAAATTAGAAGGAATCTGGTGTCAACATCCAGTTCGAGAATCCAAATCAAACTCCAGGTTCATTCCGCTTCCGAAAATCTTAACTGAATACATGGCCTGTGTATTCAACCTAATTTTGAGGTTCCCAGACACCAGTTTCATAGAATTAAACCATAATTTCTCCGGCCAAACCTCCACCCTCTCGCCTAGTCCACGTAAACCATTTCACTTTGTTACGGGAACCGTCCGCTTCGTCTCCACACCTGCTGCGGTGTCCTTGGAAAGCTTTCAGGCTCTCACCGTCTTGAGCAGAATCGTAGAGGTTTCGTTGCTCCATCTAACCCATTCTAAAGCAACGCCTCCCCCCCTTTACTCTATTGGTAAGGGGCACGTAGCTGCCAAAGTTTCGTTCGCGACATGTAACTGTTGAGTTGTCCTCTTCGGGACAGTTACTCAACTTAAGACCGATTGCTTAGCGTAAGCATGTTCTTGAAAGGGTCCCACCTCACCTCTCCTCTCTTCTCCACAGGACTCGTCCAGGTGCCGTTGGTTGGGCTCAACCTCCCCGTCATGTGGTTGTATCTCATGATGAACGTCATAACTCAGTATCCTTTTTTCTTTGGGACAATGACTAGCAGACGATAACGTTGAGATTGAGGCTCAGCCAACATTCTTGGGTTCCCTATGCTGGAGGGCGACACCTCGGAATCCTGCGTCTTGTTAAGATTTCCTTTGAACGGTGTCCCCTTTCTCTGTGGGGGTCTTTGAGCTTGATTGTTTTGTGGCAGATGTTTCCTGACCCAACTAGGTTACCTCATCAGTGCTGGGCTGGGAACAGGCATCTTCTCAACTCAGGTCAGCAGCTGGTTAGAGTTAGATAAGGATTAATGGCACTCAAACGAGAATTAGACAGTTCGCTTGTGGCTGTGTAGGGATTCTAGGCTGATTCCTCTTTTCACTCCGCCCTCAGATTCTGTTCCTCCTCTTTCTCCCTCCTCCTCCTCCTCCTCCTCCTCCTCCTCCTCCTCAAGATAGGGTGGGTACAGTCCTTGTCCCTTCCCCTAAATCAGTGATGGCGAACCTATGGCATGTGTGCCAGAGGCGGCACTCAGAGCCCTCTCGGTGGGCACGCGCGCTGTCGCTCCAGCCCTGCCTCCCCCTGCGGGCCCGTCCTCACCAGCAACCCCCTCGGTGGAGAGTTGCCCCCGGGCGTGGCCTGTGCGGAGCAGTGCAGCCAAGGACATGGCAGCCAGGACAAGACTCCACCCTCGTGCCCCGTCCCGCGCAGATGATGTTGCGGGGCGTGGGCGGAGGGCATGGCCATGGTGCTGCTGGGCTGCCTGGGCGATCTGCTGCGGGCCACGGAGGCGGTGGGTGGCCCCACGGGTGGGTCGGAGCGCGGTGCGGGGGGCAAGGCGGTTTTGGGGCACTTGGTCTCTCAAGGGTTCGCCATCAGTGCCCTAAATATTGCCATCTGAAGGCAGCTAGGGAGCCGCTTCCCTATGAACCCCCCCCCCCCCGAAATTCAGCAGCCCTCCCCCCACCCTTTTAAACCTTCCATAAAGCTTCTTTTTCCCCAAGAGCCGTGACAATATGATCGGCACCAGCTTTTTTGCTGCTTTTCATGTTTGGAATGCGCTTAAGTTTTATTGCATTTTTAATCACGTTATCGTGGTTTTTATGTTTTCACTTTTGATCGGGAACCAACCCAGCGTTGACTGTAAGATGGGCAGGTCTATAGAAGTGTTAAATAAACAGAATATCTAGCCCAGGGGTAGGCAACCTTGGCTCTTTTATGACTCGTGGACTTCAACTCCCAGAATTCCTGAGCCAGCATGGCTCAGCTTGGAAACTCTTCCTTTCCCCTCAGCATGGCTGGCTCAGGAATTCTGGGAGTTGAAGTCCACCAGTCATAAAAGAGCCAAGGTTGCCTACCCCTGGCCTAGGAGGCTCACCGCTTAGAACAGGAGGACTTAGGACAGGGGTAGGCAGCCTTGGCTCTTTTATGACTGGTGGACTTCAACTCCCAGAATTCCTGAGCCAGCCACGCTGAGGGGAAAGGGAGAGGTTTCCAAGCTGAGCCATGCTGGCTGAGGAATTCTGGGAGTTGAAGTCCATGAGTCATAAAAGAGCCAAGGTTGTCTACCCCTGGTCTAGGAGGCTCACCGCTTAGAACAGGAGGACTTAGGACAGGGGTAGGCAACCTTGGCTCTTTTATGACTGGTGGACTTCAACTCCCAGAATTCCTGAGCCAGCATGGGGGAACTATGGCCCCCTCATGACTTGTGGACTTCAACTCCCAGAATTCCTGAGCCAGCATGGGGGAACTATGGCCCCCTCATGACTTGTGGACTTCAACTCCCAGAATTCCTGAGCCAGCATGGGGGAACTATGGCCCCCTCATGACTTGTGGACTTCAACTCCCAGAATTCCTGAGCCAACATGGCTCAGCATGGAAACCTCTCCCTTTCCCCTCAGCACGGCTGGCTCAGGAATTCTGGGAGTTGAAGTCCACGAGTCATAAAAGAGCCAAGGTTGCCTACCCCTGGTCTAGCCAATCTACCAGATCAAAGGCCTGCAGAAACTCTCCAGAAGAAGTTCTCTTTTGGAGAAGTGACCACAGCCACGTAGAACCTCACAGCGTCACCGGTGGAAGGACATCCATCTTCACATCTTCTCCAATCTCCTCCTCTCTTTTTTTTTTGACGCCTTTCCCTTAACTCCAGCCCCTTTCCCAGATACATCTGCATCCGGGGGGTCTTCACCTTGACCACCGAGTGCACCTCCTTGACCGTCACGCTGGTCGTGACCCTGCGGAAGTTCGTCAGCCTGATCTTCTCCATCCTCTACTTCCGGAACCCTTTCACCGTCTGGCATTGGCTGGGCACCTTCTTGGTCTTCTTGGGAATGCTGTTGTATACGGAAGTGTGGAAGAACCTGGGACTGGTCCGACCTTGTGGACCCAGGAAGGTGGAGAAGAAGCAGGAATGATGACGGAGATGTCCTTGAGGTGGTGGGGGGAAGAAGTCATCTCCACTGGACTGGGGGGCCTTTACTACTAGAGCGTTTTGCGCCGTCGGGAGAAAAAAACGGGAGTCAGATTCTCCGTTGTCCGGACGGGAGGGTTGATTTTTGTACCACAAAAGTCGCAAATCTTGGCTGGGCCAAGCTGACGCACATCCCCAGGAGAAGGGGGAAACGGTTTTTACGTCTTTGGGTTGTGGGGGGTGACAACAATAAGGGGGTTTCTTGGACGGAAGAGGAATCTGATCCACGGTTGGTGCCTCCGGTGACTCCATTAATTGGCTAGTTTTGCCCCCCGGAGTTTGCAAAAAAACCCCACCCCTGCTTTTGGTTCATGGATATCCAATTATTGGCATCAAGCGCGGACTTTAAAAGAAATAGATGTGGAAGCTGTTCTAGGATAGTCTGGTTTGCAGTGAAGGAGTGGCCCGTTCGCCCCTTCCATGAAGGGTTGAAGACCATCTGCAGAAGTTTGTGCCCCATTGGGGACAGCAGAGTCCTTCCAATGAGAACTGGGTGTCCTTGGGCAGGGCTTAAGAAGATGTGGGCAGCTGTCGAGTTGCTTTGAGGTTGGAGCGGAGCGTTGACCGCCCGTTTGTCATCTTGGCCCAGCAAGTATCATCCAAAGTTGGTTCCTCAGAAATCACGTTGACCAAGCAGTAGCTCGTTCTGTGTCGGTTAATTTGTGGAGAGCTCTCCAGATCTTTCTCCCCAATACACGCAAACAAACGAGATCTCATGACCTTCCTCTATAATAGGCGTGTCCAACCTTGGCCACTGTTAAGACCTGTTGTTCTGTCCCAGCCTACGTACGTCCTTGTTACGTCACAAAGACAACCCCTCTTTGAACAGTAGACGGGAAAAAATAAACCCTTTTTATTTGAGTTACAGATCCGATAATTGTCCCAGAAAAACAAAAGCAACAGAACACTTTTCCGACGGAGCAAAACGGAGCACGAGTCAAACAGGAAATAACTCACAGGCAAAATAAACAGACCATGATCTCTTGACACTGAAGTTCTTTGCGAACGGTTGCCTCCAGCAAACAGCCCTGCCCACACATTCCCTTTTTGTTACGCAGCCCCCCGAGGCGTGGCTTCTCACTGCTTTCTCCTCTTCCCCTGGAGTCGCACCATTGCCTCTCTCTGTCCTACTCGTGTGACCTGTCTGCGTTTACGAGCGTCTCTGAGGTCTTCCAGCTGTGCTTCCTCCGAGTCCGACTCGGCTTCCCAGCACAGCTGGCTCTCAGCTTGATCACAAGTGGAAGGACCAGCCTCCCTCTGACTCTGATGGCTCTCCAGCCCCCGTCCTCCTCCTTCTCCTCTGATTCCCCAGACTCAACTACTAGGATCACAGGCTGGCATGAAATCACAACACTTGTGGACTTTCCAGAATTCCACAGCCAGACATGCTGGCTGGGGAATTCTGGGAGTTGAAGTCCACAGGTCTTAAAAGTGGGCACGGTTGGACACCCTGGTCTAGAATATCTATTGGTGAAGGACAAGGAAGACTATCCAACTTTCTTGATAGACAAAAGTCTTGGCCAAACAGGGTGGCTATCTCTTGGGTTCCTTTGGGGCAATCCAGAGCAGTCTTCCTCAACCTCAACACCCTTCAAGAAGTCATGTAGACTCCAACTCATGAGGAATTCTGGGAGTTGAAGTCCACAAACCTCTGAAAAGTTGTTAAGGTTGAGAGACACTAATGTAGGGGTGGCGCCAGTGTCTCCTCCGATCTCCTGTTCTTTAGGGACTATTTGAAGGAAGATGTTGTCCAGGAATGACAGAATAAATAAGCTATACAAGTCTGAGCCAACTGGGAAACTGGTTTCTGAACTGGTTTACAATGGGAACCCCGCAAGGGTTCCTGGTCTACCTTGTCTATGACAAGGTCTTCTCCAAACCAGGTTCTCCCTGTGAACAAATATATGTACCTTTCTCTGCTCCCCTTCCTGATGGGAGAGCCACGAGTAACCTTACTCGTGTGACCGCCTCCTTTAAGCAGCTGTAGATGTTGAGGGTTTATTTAATTTTTTTTGGGGGGGCGACATTTTTGCATATTTATATTTATAATCTGCATTGACAAGCAAGGAGAGTTGCTTTCCTCGGTGCTATAAATCCGTGTCCCTCAATTCTCAACAACTTTAAAATGGGTGGGAATTCCATGTATCTAAAGTTGGCGAGGTTGAGGAACACTGGTCTAAATAACGGTGAAGTATTTTCTTTCGTTCTTTTTTTTTTTTCCCCCTCCTAAAGGCATCTCATCTGAATTTTGGGTGAAGCGTTCAAGGCCCCAGAAAACCAGGAGACTGTGAGTTCTAGTCCCGTTTGAGGCGCAAAGCCTTAAAAACAGCCACACAGGTTTTCTGAGCCCTGGAAAGAAGGCAATGGCAAACCTCGTCAAAAATCTCCCCATCTTCACCATAGCCGAACTGGGTTGTGTGAAAATTGTGATGCCTTCGGGTGGGTCCCTCTAAGCTAGGAAGGCACGCACGAGCATGCATGCAAACGCGGTTGGGGGGGCCTCAAACAGCTCCCTTAAAAGCTAGAACGGCAGCAAGCCGCCAGCAAGATTAAACTAGGTTCCCCGTAAACCTGGTTTGTTTCTTTCCACTGGTGTATGTCGGTTTGCGAGAAGCCAACCGCTGAGTTGAGCACTTGGTGCCAAACCAGAAAAAGAGTTGAGCCGGTAGCCAACAGGAAGATGTTTTGAACGGTGCTTTTGATCACCCACCAATAAACCCACATTGCATTAGCTAGTCAACTATCTAGACCAGGGGTTTTCAAACTTGGCCCTTGGATGACTTGTGGACTTCAACTCCCAGAATTCCTCAGCCAGGCACGTGTGCCTGGCTGAGGAATTCTGGGAGTTAAAGTCCACAAGTCATCCAAGGGCCAAGTTGGAAGACCCCCCTGGTCTAGACGTAATGTGTCTGTTGTAGGAAAATAAACACAGTTGTGAACCGGATACATCGAAACTGGCTTGTCTCAGCAACACAATCATTCTTCTATTTAATTGTAAATCTGATATTTTCTGCACACAATACCTCGCCCTCACACACGTCGGGGACGCTTCGATGGGATCCTTTGTTGAGTATAAATAGGCCCGATGTTAAAAGCAAGAAGGCAAAAGAGTTTTAATTAATGCCTTGAAACTCTTAGGTTTGAAAAGCGAAACTTCGGCGAGGCGTAACGAGATTATCGTATGGATGTCTATTTAATAAAAAAAAAAATCTGGATACTGGCTGAACATGGAATTTATTCAATAAAGAATATTTGCGAAGCACAGATTTCCTGATCCATTTTTTCCCCCGTCTCTAATAATGTGTTTCTCAGCCTTTCTCAGGTCTGTGGATTTCATCTCCCAGAATTCCCTTAGTCCCTGCCTCAAATTTGGTTTATTTTTAATGAAATTCAATTTGGGCACCCAATTTTAACTTTCTGCAACGCTGGGTGAGCGAACGCCAATTTTATTTCGACGCTCATTTGACTCGCGGCCCTTGTGTAATCGTGGCGCTCCAAATGCACGCAACACAACTTTTGTTGTTGAAAGGGGACCCAATAAGAATTGAGGAACAGAAGCAGGGGGGGTATATGAATAGATTTAACGTGCATCTATGCGTTGATAGAGTCCTCAACTTACCACAGTTGAGCCCAACATTTCTGCTGCTGAGACAGTTTTGGCCCATCTTACGACCTCCTTGCCCCCGTTGTTAAGTGAATCACTCCAGTTGTTAAGTGAGTCACACGGTTGTTAAGTGAATCTGGCGTCCCCTGGTCTGAAGGTCGCCAAAGGGGACCGCATGACCCCGGGACGCTGCGACCGTCATAAATACGAATCAGTTGCCAAGCGAATTTTGATCAGGTGGCCGTAGGGAGGCTGCGACGGTCGTAAGTATGAAACGGGGTCGTAAGTCACCCTCAGTGCTGCTGTAACTGGCCACTAAATGAATTGTTGTAAGTCCAGGACTCTGCATTCATACCCTAACAGATGTAGAGTCCAGATCCAGAGAGAGCTGCTCGCTCCGTGGATTTCTGAAATAAAATCCTTTGGTGGTTTTGCTGTTGCTTGATCTACTTCTGCATAAAAGGATGCTGACTGTTTGCAACGAGGTTTGTGTGTTAGGCACACACCTGTGTCCTCTAGAAGTGTGCGTACTTACCTATGCAGACCATGTGTTGGCAGAGAACCCAGGAATGTGCAGGGAACGTCAGAAAGATTGTACAGGTAGTCCTCGACTTACAACCGTTCATTTAGTGACCGTTCAAGAGTTACAATGGCCCCGGAAAAAAGGAGTTAATGATGGTTTTTCACACAACCGCCGCAACATTCTGCAGGGTCACGTCATCAAAATTCAGAGGCTTGGCAACTGGCATGTACTTAGGACGGTTGCAGTGTCCCGGGGTCAGCTGATCCCCTTTTGCGACCTGACAAAATCAGCGGGAAAGCCAGAGACACTTAACAACTGTGTTGCCAACTTAACAACTGCAATGATTCATTCAACTGTGGCAAGAAAATTTGTAAAATGGGGAGGGGGGGAAATCACTTAAAAGGTTTCACTTAGTGACGGACATTTTGGGCTCAGCTGGGGTTGTTGAGGACTACCTGGACAACACAACGTGAAGCTAGCGTATCGAAACCCAAGGCTCACTCTTAGAAATTAAAAAGAACGACAACCCCCCCCCCACAACTTCACACCTGGAAGTCTTGATTTAAAAGGCGCTAAAAAGATGCGAGGAATGTTTTGAAATCATCAGGCAGTCTTTTTATACGGACCAACAAGGTTCCAGACATCATGAGAGGGGAAAATGTAAATTATTGTGCTAAATAACATTATAGTCTACTAAACATCTCTTGTCTTTTTTAGCCAGAAAAAAAATCCGTCAAGCAGTTCAAGAGCTGGAAGAAAACATATAGATTAAATTTATATTTATATTAACCAGCTTTTGGTTTGATATTATCCTGGTATTCGAATTTATTTATTTTTATTGCATGGCTTTACCCAGGATTCACATTTTTATATATATTCAGATTTCTTTTTGCGGACAAGAGTTAAAGATTTAAGTGGGAGACTAGTATAGCTATTTCGGACTCATTTGTATATATTTTGTATATATATATATATATATTTTGACGGATTTTTCTGGGTAAAAAAGACAGAGATGTTTAGTAGATTGTAATGTTATTTAGAACAATAATTTATATTTCCCCCTACCATCTATATATATATATATATTTATATCAACTCCAAAGAGCTCCACGAACCCACCGAGAAATCGTTGCGGATTCGCATTGTGTCACCAAACAAGTCTTTAAAAATAAAAAAATAAAAAAATGGAAGTTTTCTTGGGCTGGCTCAAGCAGGGTCTCCCTCTGGGAGGGGGGCGGTGAGAAGCAGAGTCGGGACCCCCTAAGTGCTACTTGGGAGTAAAAGGCGTTGGAGGGGGCCGGGGGTCCAAGGCTAGGGCTTCAACCACACGACCGAGGCGTAGCTGTCCACGGCGGCCGCTTTGGGCTTCTTCCGGCCGGATGGGATGGGAGGAAGGACCGGCTTGGTGTTGGACCCTGGGCGGACGGTGACCGTGGGGGTGAGGTGTGGGGAAGGGGCTTTGTGCTTGGGGGTCTTCTTCTCCTTGCCCTCCGCGGGACGGTCGGCCTCTGCAACAGAGAAGAGCGGGATTGGGTGTCTGCTTGGAGAAGAAAGGTACTGACTTTCTTTTTCTTTCCCGCACTCCTTTCTGTCCTCACTTCTTTCCTTTCCTTCCTTCCTTCCTTCCTTCTTTTTTTTTCTCTTCTACCGGCAATGATTCACTTAACACGTGTAGCAAGAAAGGTCGTAAATATGGGACAAAACTCACTTAAGAACTGTTTTGCTTAGCAACAGAAATTTTGATCTCAATTGTGGTCGTAAATCAAGGACCACTGCCCTCCTTCCTTCCTTCTCCCTCCCTTTCTTTCTTTTTTCTTTCTCTTCCTTCCTTCCCTCTCCTCCCTTCTTTTCTTTCTTTCTCTTTCTTCCTTCCCCTTCCTTCCTTCTCCCTTTTTTCTTTCTTTCTTTCTCTTCCTTCCTTCCCTCTCCCTCCTTCCTTTTTCTTTCTTTCTTTCTTTCTTTCTTTCTTTCTTCCCTCTTTCTTTCTTTCTTTCTTTCTCTCTTCATTCCTTCCCTCTCCCTCCTTCCTTCCTTTCTTTTTCTTTTTTCTTCTCTCTTTCTTCCTTCCCTCTCCCTCCCTCCCTCCTTTTCTTTCTTTCTTTCTTTTTTCTTTCTTTCTTTCTTTTCTTTTTCTTTTCTTTCTTTTTCTCTTTCTTTCTTTGTCTTCCTTCCTTCCTTTTTCTCTTTCTTTCCTTTCCTTCCCTCCTGCCTTCCTTCCTTCCCTCCTTCCTTCCCTCTCCTTCCCTCCCTCCCTTTTTTTCTTTCTTTCTTTTTTCTTTTTCTTTCTTTCTTCCTTCCCTCTCCCTCCCTCCTTTTTTCTTTCTTTCTTTCTTTCTTTCTTTCTTTCTTTCTTTCTTTCTTTCTTTTTTTCTTTCTTTCTTTCTTTCTTTCTTTCTTTCTTTCTTTCTTTCTTTCTTCCTTCCTTCCTTCCTTCCTTCTTTCTTTCCTTTCTTTCTTTATCTTTCTTTTTTTCCCTTCCTTCCTTCCTTCCTTCCTTCCTTCCTTCCTTCCTTCCTTCCTTCCTTCCTTCCATTATGTGCCTCTCCAATCTCTGGGCATTTTACAAAGATTAAAACTGGTAGACATTAAAATACTAAAACAATAAATAACAACAACAACAATAAATACAGTTAAAAGGTGGGGAGGAGAGGAGCACAAAGTACAGGTAATCGTTGGCTTACAACCATTCGTTTAGTGACTGTCCAAAAGTTGCAACGGCACTGGAAAAAAAGGGACTTACGACCAAATTTCAAATATGTGAACATTGCGCCCTCCCCCGGGGTCACGCGATCAAATTCTGGATGCTTGGCAAACTGATTCGTATTTATGACGGTCGCAGCGCCTTGCATCACGTGATCCCCTTTTGCGACCTTCTGACAAACAAAGTCAGTGGGGGAAGGCAGCTTCACTTCATAACCGTGTTCCTAATTTAATAACTGCAGCGATTCACTTAACAACTGCGGCAAGAAAGGTCATTTAACAAACGTCTCGCTTAGCAATGGAAATTTTGGGCTCAACTGTGGTCGTAAGTTGAGGATTGCCTGTACTCAAAAGACACTCCTGGCCCTAACTGATGGCGCCTTAGAATCTTAGTCAAACTACGTCTCATCCTAATCTGGAGCTGGAATTTTTGGGCTCTCGGATTAAGCGCTGGGAATATTATAAATTGCCAGCAAAGGTATCTGAATCCATCTTGGCATTTTCTCACCTTTAGGGGCTATCAAAAACGACCCCTAGATGGCGCCAGAGAGAGCAGGAGAGCTATTAATCTGCTGCCATCTAGTGGCCAGCTGGAGGTTTGCAGATCAGATAAGAATCCGCAGCCAAAACAGAGAGAATATTTGTAGTTTGTGGTGTCCCCTCAACTCACTCCTGAGCCACAGCAGGGCCATCTGTTCGGAGGGGGGGTGTCAAAAAAGTCAAGATGGGGGTCGTGACAAAGACTTTGAGCCCTTTCGTAATGCGATGCGTGTTCAAGGCTTTGAATTGGCGCCCACCTTGTCGGCTCCTTTTTTCATCGGTGACTTCTGCGGGGATGGTCCTGGAGGGACGGGTAGAAGATATGCTGGGAGAAAGGAGTGATCCTGGATCGGTGAGGGACTTCTTGGCTGGTTGACCGGATTCCCTGTATCTGAGGAAGGAAAGGGTGAGATCAACGCCCAGGAACTCTAAGCTACAACTCACCCAGAGAAGCCACATCATGTGGGGTCTACCAGCATCCATGTTCTCTGCACATTTCGAGGCCTGTGATGGCGGCATTCCTTGCCTGGGAATCATGGGTCTTATAGTGCAAGGTCTCTCCAGGTTGGGAAGGTCTAATCAGAAGTCCTGACACATCACCTATGGCTGTGGAGATCTTCTACTCTGCCATTCGGATGGCGCCAGGTTTTGCAGCCTCACCGACTTCTGGACCATGGTGTCACTGGCACCCCTGCTCTGTTGCACAGTTGGTTGGGAGACTGTCCTGTGCTGGGCTTGCTGTCTCCCCGACAGAGCGATGGGAACTTTCCTTGCCTGGGGATCATGGGTCTTGTAGTACGAGGTATCTCTGGCGGTCCAGGTTGGGGAACTCGAATCAGAAGCCCCTACAGGCTGGAACATCCTCTAGAAGTTCTGGAGAAGGTCCCCCCCCCAAGGAGTCACGTCTCTACTCACCTTTGGTCAGGAGTGGTGGGTGGGACGGGGCTCATGGTACGTCTAAAGGACCCCGTGGAGATGAAAGATGGGGGCTCTAAAAACTGGCTATGCACGCTGGGGTCTGCAACTCGGAGGGCATCCCTAAAACAAACCAGAAAGAGTCCTCTGATTCTCCCAGCTCGGAGCTCACTTTTTTGTTTGTTGACATGCAAATTCTATTTCTAAACAGTTTTTCCTTCCAATAGAGCCTGCCACCATCCATCCATCTCTTTCTCTATGTATTATCTATCTATCTATCTATCTATCTATCTATCTATCTATCTATCTATCTATCTATCTATCTATCTATCATCTACCATCTCTCTCTCTAGAATTCTCCATCTGGGGTAGGATAGGATGGGAGAAGAATAGAATAGAAGAACAGAACAGAACAGAACAGAATAGAACAGGACAGGATAGAATAAGAATAAAAAGAATGAAGGCTAGAATAGAACAGAACAGAATAGAATAGGATAGGATAGGATAGGATAAGAATAAAAAGAATGAAGGATAGAATAGAATAGAATAGAATAGAATAGAATAGAATAGAATAGAATAGAATAGAAAGAATGAAGGATAGGATAGGATAGGATAGGAATAAAAAGAATGTAGAATAGGATAGGATAGGACAGGACAGGATAGGATAGAATAAGAATAAAAAGAATGAAGGATAGGATAGGATAGGATAGAAATATAGAATATAATAGGATAGGATATGATAGAATAGAATATAGAACAGAATAGAATATAGAACAGAATAGAAAATAAACTAGAACAGAAGATTGTAATTCCCAGGAAAGCATCCCTCACCCCAAATATTTCCATTAGATCCAGTGCTCTGAAAACAGATACTATCTATGACATTGTGGGGTGATTTTTTTTTTTAAAAAAAGCAATGCTGCAACGTGCTCAACAGGCTCGCGCAGGCCCAGCGTACCTGTACTCACACCTGGGAAACCGGCGCGCCTGGAGCAAGTCTGCGGTTCCCAAATGCGACAGGCAGGTGCGGTTGGGAGGGCGCAGATGTGAGTTCTGCCACGGCACAAATCCAGAGGACGATTCTTCAAACATTGATGGTGGCAGCACGGCGTGGGTCGACCCCATTCCAGACGGCATTTGCCGTACTGCCTAACCTGGGTTGTTTGAAGCCACTTTGGGGATGGGTGTCACACGCTAGGACACGCAAGCCAGCGCAAAGGACCCAAGGTTAAGACCAAATGCATGTGGCATGTTGTGCGAATGGCAGTGCTAGGTCCAACTGATTTAGTTCACAGGGTTGTGTGTGGACAACATGTTGTGTTGTTTTGTTAATATCTAGAAGGTCTTGCTGTCGTCGTCTTTCTAAATCTTAAAATGGGTGGATTTCAACTCCCAGAATTCCCCAGCCAGCATGGCTGGCTGGGGAATTCTGGGAGTTGAAGTCCACGAGTCTTAAAATTGCCAAAGTTTGGACACCCCTGCTCTAAATCCCTATTTTTCAACTTTGGCAACCTTAAAGCGTGTGGACTACAACTCCCAGAATTCCTCATCCAGCCTGGCTGGCTAGGGAATTCTGGGAGTTGTAGTCCACAAGTCTTGGAGGTCTTCTAGTCCAACCCCCTGCTCAACCAGGAGACCCTAGACCAAAGGTAGGCAACCTTGGCTCTTTTATGACTCGTGGACTTCAACTCCCAGAATTACTGAGCCAGCATGGCTCAGCATGGAAACCTCTCCCTTTCCCCTCAGCATGGCTGGCTCAGGAATTCTGGGAGTTGTAGTCCACCAGTCATAAAAGAGCCAAGGTTGCCTACCCCTGCCCTAAACCATTCCAGACAAGTGGTTGTCCAATTTCTTCTTAAAAACCTCCAGTGATGGAGCACCCACAACTTCTGGTGGCAGGCTGTTCCACTGGTTAATTGTCCTCACTGTCAGGAAGTTTCTCCTAACAGGGATAATTAACATTAAGGGCAATCGGCCCCTCTGTTTGGCTTCCTGATTTCTCCCACTCCCCTCTTTGGAGCAAACCATTCTTTTAAGGGGGGGTGTCATTTTTTTACCTCTCGAACAGCTGGGCGTAGGAGGAGATGGTTTTGCCCATCAGGCCCTGCTTGGCCAGCTGTTGTCTGCGCTGGAGCGATGCCTCTTCCTGGAGATGGAACACAATCAGCCCTCTTAGTGACGGGTCAGGACAAGGTTCGGGCACAGGTCATTATCCGGGACGGGGGGGGGGGGAACATAAGCTCTGCAACCAGTTAACCTTGGTGAAGTTAGAGCACCCGTGAGGTCACTTGTCCCCTCCCCGGGGAACGGCCATCCGTGGTCAGATAGACACACCGATGGCAGGTGAGGGTTGGGAAGCCATGGAAGGAAAGACCGCCTCTTGGCTTCATGGACTTGGCGGAAAGCTCATGGCACTTCTTCAAAATCCCTGCGTGAAGGCATCTCCCCAGCTTCACTGGTTGGACATGACCGTGGAGCTTGGAGGTGACCCAGTTCCTGTGACCAGTAGGGCCGCTTCCTCACCGTGACAACTTTAAGATGGGTGGACTTTCAGAATTCTGAGAGCTGAAATCCACCCATCTTAAAGCAGGCTGGCTGAAGGATTCTGGGAGTTGAAGTCCACCCATCTCAAAGCAGGCTGGCTGAAGGATTCTGGGAGTTGAAGTCCACCCATCTCAAAGCATGCCGGCTGAGGGATTCTGGGAGTTGAAGTCCACCCATCTTAAAGTATGCTGGCTGAGGGATTCTGGGAGTTGAAGTCCACCCATCTCAAAGCAGGCTGACTGGGGAATTCTGGGAGTTGAAGTCCACCCATCTCAAAGCAGGCTGGCTGAAGGATTCTGGGAGTTGAAGTCCACCCATCTTAAAGCACGATGCCCTTGACGTGATGACCCGTTGCCTGGAGGCCGTACGGGTCTGGATGGGGAGGAACAGACTCAGACTCAACCCTTCCAAGACCGAGTGGCTGTGGTTGCCGGCGCCCCGGCATAGTCAGCTGACTCCATCGCTGACTATAGGGGGCGAGACTCTGGCCCCCTCAGAGAGGGCACGCAACTTGGGTGTCCTCCT